CCTTCCAGCTTCAGTGACGGTGAGGTAATACCCCAGCCAGAATATATTGTATTGGCACATTCCTGAGGGGAAGAACAAAAACCCACTGATCTTTCCTCTAATGAGTAATTCTACTGCCAAGCACAGGTATGTAAGGTAATACTTGTTTTAAGGAAATGTATTCCCCCTTTCTGAGCTTGCATTATCTCCAGTCACTGTAGTGAGCTGTTTAACCCAGAAATCAAGCAAGTGTGGCCAGATTCATTCATTTATATTTATTAAAGTGAAATTTTAGTAACTCTGGGAGACTTTTAGAGGCCAAGATATATTTTGGTCTGAGAAGAGGCCATTCTGCAGGCCAGATGCAGAGGCATGGCTGGGGAAAGGTTGCAGTTTTCACCTCTCTTTGGTGACAACAACCAGGTCCAAAGCATAGTCTGTTAATGCAGAAGAGATTAGATCTGGAATATTCACAGACACAACAAAATAATCACTGCCACTCTGTGTAGCAATACTGTGTAGCAGGCAACTGAGTACTGCTGTGCTCAGTAAGGGAAGGGAAGATGAAGTCCTGTGGTATAGAACTATTTGCAGGCTTCTACTTCCAAATATAGAACTTACAGACCTTTGCATGCTTGTACTTCCAAATGATGTAAACTAGTGCAAAAAGGATCCATTTCCTGCAAAATAATTAATTTTAAGTTATCTTAACCTTTTTTGATAGCTGCTCTGAATGTTGTATTTTCCAATGCAAAGAAGGAGACTGCAGAAAACCACTTCCATTTATCTTGTATCCAAGAAAATAAATCTTAACGTTGGAAGTATGTACTTTCTCATGTGTTTACTGGGCTTGGGAACTAGCAATACAGCAACTCGAAAAACAAAGAACAAATCTATACACTCTTCAGAAACTGGTTAGTATTAGCTTTCAAGCCTGGCAACCAGAACTGCTAGATTGTTTCCCTGGATGAATAGCACCTTCCAGTCCTATCTTAACTTTGGTTGCTTCATTCTCAGCCAGTCAGAGAGCCCATCACTGCACGATGGGTGCCCACTACGGGTTTGAGCGTCAATGGGCTGAAGCAAGTGTTGGATTCACAAATTACTTAAGTCCCATGGCTCTTCCTCACCCTGAAGAGATATTTTGCCTTCAGACCCACACTGGTATCTCTGTATGGTACGGCAGAAGACAAGTGTGAGGTGTAAGTTAGCATGAGATTTGGCATTTCTGTATCATATTGTGCATAGGTTTATCTTCAGGAAGAAATTGCTCAGAATAACTGCCTCACATGCTAAAGTGAATTTAGCAACTCGTATACCTGTTAATGAGCACTAACAGCAAATCAGACTACATCAGAGGGATTAGAACCATCAGACATCTCCACAGCCCCGCAGCAGAGCAACGAAGAGCCAGCCAGAAATGTGGGCTCCCTCAGCTGGAACACACAAAGCATCTTCCAGAGTTTCCATGCAAACTTACCTTGGTCACCCGTGGTTCACACCTGTGTACAGCTGCATACATTGTACCAAAACGTTGACTTCTCAGGGCACACGGTTAATACACAGCTTTTTAAAGCAGCGGTTTAATAAGCCATGAACCCTCCCCATCAACCTGCCACCCACGCCATGTTTATTCATGCAGTGTGACAGTGCACAGGCCCTGCCAAGGGCAGCCACGGGCTTCACCATTTCATGTCCCCAGTCTCTAAGTGGGTGTTTGTGGCCTGAATGTCCTGGTCACATCACCTAAAGCTCCGCAGAAATGAATCAATGCTTGCTCTCTTTACCCTGCTCTTCCACCATGAAGTCAAAGAGCTCAGTCTGAAACACTCCCAGGCTTCGAGCTCCCTCTGCAGTATTTTGTAAGGAATCATCTCACCTCAAGAAACCTCCGAATTCGTTGGTTAGGAGCTGGATCATTCATAGCACTTCAATATCTGGGAAACCTCCACTGAAATCTGAGCTGCTCTAATAAATCAATTCTATTAAGTTTTATTCTGATGTGGAGCAGTTAGGATCTGCTCACCTTGGCAGATACCTTCTTTCCTAAAGCCCCATGAACTGCTTTCAAAGGAAATAACTGGAGGAAAGCACTTTGCTCGGGTACCTTCATCTGTGAATGGGTCAAAGTAGCATTAACAGGTCAGATTCACACATAATAAACGGGGCTACTAAATCACTAGGCCAGGCATTAGGATTGAGTTTAAAAGCCTTGAAGCAATGACTTATATCTTAATAAAATGGTGATCTGTGTCTTTTACTTCTATTTTTGTTACTAATTTAGACACCTTTAGAATTACACTTGTGTGGAATTGCTTTCACACCTCCTCGTACTTCAGTGCAGAATCTGGCTGCTAAGTTCATATGAACCTGTTAAAATCTCAGTTGATGTTGCTTTCAACTGCATCTCAAGGGATAGAGAATAAAGCTATAAGTGGCACTGATTAGACTTCCTTCACGTAGATTTGTCTCTGAGTTGGGTGGCTGCCATCACCAGGCGCAACTATGCGCGATGGGATTTGGCTCCTCCTGTTTTGTGCAGTCACCTTCCTTGGCAAAATGTAAATGAGATTTTATTCAACTGGATTTTATACTTCTTAGATCATTACTAAGGCTTACGTCTGCTTTATAAATTAAGCCCCACACTGCAAATTCTCCTTGGCCTCACACTACCCTTGTAATTAATGTTCTTTCCCTCAGCTTAAAGTATATTCAGAGCTGCAGATGGAAAATACATCTCTTAAAACAGGCATATCTCACCCCAGCACAAATTCTTAGTGCTAATTCCTTTCACTATTTATTTTACCATGAGACCCTGCAATAGGTTCATTTCCTTACTTGGAGTATTGTGTGCAGTTCTGGTGTCCTCAACATTAAAAGGACATGGAACTGTTGGAACAAGTCCAGAGGAGGCCACGAGGATGATCAGGGGACTGGAGCACCTCCTGTATGAAGATAGGCTGAGAAAGTTGGGGCTGTTCAGCCTGGAGAAGAGAAGTCTGTGTGGAGACCACAGAGCAGCCTTCCAGTATCTGAAGGGGGCCTATAAGGATGCTGGGGAGGGACTCTTCACTAGGGACTGTAGTGATAGGACAAGGGGTAACAGGTTAAAACTTAAACAGGGGAAGTTTAGATTGGATATAAGGAAGAAGTTTTTTACTATGAGGGTGGTGAGGCACTGGAATGGGTTGCCCAGGGAAGTTGTGAATGCTCCACCCCTGGCAGTGTTCAAGGCCAGGTTGAACAGAGCCTTGGGTGTCATGGTTTAGTGTGAGGTGTCCCTGCCCATGGCAGGGGGTTGGAACTGGATGATCTTAAGGTCCTTTCCAACCCTAGCTATTCTATGATTCTTTGATTCTTATTTGCAGCATTTAGGGACTAAAAAAGATCTCTCTTCTAAACAGGTTTAATAGAATCAAAGAATCATAGAATAATTAGGGTTGGGAGACTGAGAGTAATATGCATGTTGGCTGCTTTTCAAGGTTGGCATTAGGTACACCCTGTTGCCTTTCCTGGATAAGTAGCATCGGGGGGGGGGGGGGGGAAGGAGGCTGCTGGAAGCCCCAAATTTATTGTGAATTTTAGGATTATCCAGCTAAAAATCAAAGAAAATATTGCTAATGCTATAACATAGGAAAGGAAATGATTTTAAGGGAATGCATACTTGGAGCAGACATTGCAGCCCAATGTTCATATATCCTGGGAGGAATATATGGGAAACAAATCTTATATTCTATATGAAATACACATTTTCTTACTTCATGCCCACTGCTGAGGATGCACAGATGGGCTCCATGAGCGTAGCCAGCTCCATATATTGGGTCCCTTGGTCTTGTGCCTACGGGAGTTAGGGAAGTGTTTTGGGAGTAGGAGTTGTTCCTCGCTTGGAATGTGAGACTGGAGATGCGGAAGATAACACTTACACTTGTGTGCCTGACACTGCAATCTGTTTATGACAAGGACCATGGGTGTATTTGTGTGTGGCAGTAATAATAAGTTAAAGGATGCACTGGAAACTATTGGCAATGGGGTAGCTTAGGGAATCAACGTGCCAGTGGTCACCAGGAACAGAGAGATCTCTGCACTACCTACATGTGATGTGGAGAAAAAACATCGTGGTTTGCCTGAGCTTTGGGGACCTACAAAACAATGGCACGAACCTGATCTTTCCCATTTATGAGAAGTTCACCCTTCAGCTTGTATAAAAATAGCCTTTGGAATCCAGGCACTTCAGATGTGCCCTGTTTCCTCCCTTTTAAAGGTCAGCAGTTAGTGTATGTCACAACCAATCTCCGTCAGGAACAACGACCAGGCTGCAGCCCTGTGTTTTCAGGGAAAGATGGAGTTCTCGGGGGCAGCCGAGGCTGCAAAGAGGGCAGATGCAGCTTTTCTGGGGAGACTCCATGGGGACTGTGCCTCTTTGGGAGCAGAGCTCTGCTGTGACCTTTCTTGCTCTTCAATGAGCAAATCCTTTCATCCGTATATACTGTTCTCCTTTTGCAAAACTAACCTTTGTAGGTGTAGGTGCTCACAAGAATCCAACAATCCTCCATTAATCGGGGAACCTCCAGTTCCCCCAACTTAAGGTTTGGCCAGGTTGAGGGGGCAGGACCCGACCCTGCTCCTCCTGCGGCAGGAGACCGCCCGAGCTCCGCCCTGACACACGGTTCTGTATCCCCCATTACAAAACAAGCCCGTTCGCCTCCGAAGCCTTCTTCCGCACCGAGCTACCCCTAAACTCACCCTCAGTAAGAGCACAACCCAACACCACCACAGAACAGACGCGCGGCCGCCATTTTGTGGCGTGGCGGAAACCCGCCGGCGGCGTTACGTCACTTCCGAGAAGAGCAGGCGCGGGCTGGGGGTCGGGGCAGTGTTCCGCCATTGCGGCGCTGCCGGCTCCGGGCCGCGCCGGGTCCGATCCGATCTGATCTCTGCCGGTTCGGGACCGCGCTCCCCCTCCTCCCGGGAATCCGCTGTGTGGTAACAGGAACGCGTTTCCTTCCCGGAGGGTGCGGACGGTGGTGGCTGCGGCGCAGGCCTCGGCGCCATGGATCCGTTTTTGATACTGCTGCACTCTTTCTCCTCGAGGCTGTCGAAAGATGAGCTCTCTTCCCTCAAGTTCCTCCTGAGGGGGGAGATCGGGAAAAGGAAGCTTGAGGCTGCCGAGAGCGGCGGGGAGCTCTTCAGCATACTCCTCGAGCAACAGCTGATCGCAAGCGACCGGACGGCGTTGCTTGACGGCTTGTTTAAGGCTATTAACAGAGATGACTTGGTCGCAGAACTAAAGGAGTTCGTGGAGCAAGGAGAAGTTAGTGCTTCTGATAATGAACCAGATGCGCATGAAAAACGTAGGTGGATTTATTCGTTTTTAACACACCCCCCCAGGCAACCCCGTTATGGGGTGTTCAGAGGCAACACAGAATGCGGCTGCCCTCAGCGGCTGTAGCTGCGCCCACTGCTGAGGGTGCTTCCGCTGGTACTTGGGAGTCTTTTGTACCCTGTAAATGGGCCTTGAGGGCAGCAGATGCTGCGAACGGCTTTCTGGGGTGGAAATTTCTTCCCTTTTTTACCAAACGGTCACTTGCAATAAGTGATACATACAACAGTACATTGCAGTTAATGCTGTGTGCCTGGGATTCTGAGTATATCCAGTGGGTTTCCAAAACTTGGTGTGAGACAGAAAGAGTAGTAGTGTTCTGCTAACAAAAAGCACCGTCAACCAACTTTTAAACGTTGTATTTTATTTCTCAGTAAATCCATCACTAAGCACATTTCTGCTATTTCAGGTCTTCAGAACGCAGCTGTTGAAGTCATATGTGAAAACATCGGGAGGGACTGGAAGATGCTGGCACGAAAACTGGGCCTTTCTGAAGTGAAAATTGACAGAATAGTGGCAGAGTATCCATTTAGCTTGTATGAACAGTTGTTTCAGTCCCTGCGAGCCTGGCAGAAATGGAAGGGAAAAGATGCAAAGGTGGCTGACTTACTGAAAGCCCTTCGGGGCTGCCATAAGAATTTGGTGGCAGACATAGTTGAACAGAAGCTCTCACAACTGGATGCTGGAACCAGCTTACATCAACATCAAAACAATCCCACGTCCCCCAGAGAGGATGAGAGAAGTACCGAGTGCCTTCCACTCTTCTGAACCAAACTCAGAATTGGTGGTTCAGTTACTTTTTCTGCTAATAATTTACATGCCTTAATATGTTGATTTCTGAACCCAAATAACTTTGAGGTAATGCTTTGTAATTTTATGCTTTAAGAGATTTGAACTTTCACAAGACCTGAACTCTGTGTGTTGTAGAAATTCTCACACTTTCCTTCTACCACTCACCTGAAAACAAGATCTGCTTGACTGCTGGTAACTGTCAGATGCGTCTGCTCTGAAAATGCATCCATGGGACACTTCTGAGGCAGCTGTAGTTAAAATTTCATGGGGAGGTTGTTTTTTTTGTGGCCTATTACAACTGTAGTATGAAAAGGGGAAGGAATAGCTTAGCTCTGTACTGGGTTTTCTCTTTAAGTAGCATAAGATAATGTCTTCCATAATTTGTCAAATACACTTGCTCTTTGTAAAAGGATACGAAGATCACTGTAACCTTTGGCTCCACAACTGCAGTGTGAGGAGGGTAGGAACTACTGTGGTGGCTTTTTATTAGCAGGAAATGGTTGAAAATTAACTAATTGAAATCAAAATGCCTGCATCAAGTGCCTGCCTTCATCGTGAAGGCAATATTCTCCTGAAGCTGTGAAAGAAACTGTGTCACAGATCTTTACAGCAGCCTCCTTTTACTGCCATCAGTGCAAGATTCTTTCCTAGGAATCCTCTCAGAACCTGCCTCACAGATGTCTGTATCCCAGTCATGTCTGCTGGAAGTTGCATCTTACCTCATAAGCGTCTGCAGTTATCTGTGCTTATAGTAACAAAACTGTACTGTAACAGCCTAGAAAACAAACTGGGTTTAGCAAAGGGGTGTGAAAGCCTCCTGAGAGCAGATACATAATATGGACTTTTCTCTAGTGGTATCCCTTGAAGATCAGCTGCTTTCCACCACAGCTTGTTGTCTTCAGGAGTTACTCCAGATCCAACAGCTCTTCCAAGTCCTCTGCAGTTGTTTAGTTCATTCCTGTGCCTTAACATCTTTTGGAATTGGTTGTGAGCAACTCTCAGAGCAAAGAGGGTGTGAATGAGACCAGATTCAGCTTTAACGTGGAACAGACTTTAGAAATGGCCTTCATGCCTAAGCTAAGGCTGGAAAAGTTGTACAAGCTTCAAGACATGCAGGGCTGTAGAGAACTGTTCTCTGTGTGAGGGAGGAAAGTCCTCTGAAATCATTATGTTTAAATGAGTAGGATTGTTTGTTACTGCAGACATCTTCACAGATACTGGGAGAGGAGAGGCTCCTTTTTTGCAGTGACTTTGAGCCCCTTTCAGTTATACATGGTGCCTCTACTGTGAAGGCCAGGTGTTAGCGTGTAACGTACCACTGCTCTGCATAAATGCTGTGACATTGATAACTTTCAGGCTTTTGCCTCTGCTTTACACAATGATACCTGAAAACTTGATCACAGTTAATGAAAGTGCTGTAATGTGAACTTAACCATTTCAGTAAGTTTTTTGCCTTAACTGATACTCGCAAGTGTTTTTCTAATCATCATGTATTAAATATCAGTGATTGTATCCATGCAAAGAAGTGATGGGTAAATACAGAAGTTCCCATTTGTCTGCCTTTTGGGCAGGTACAGACCTCTTAAGTACTTGCTCCAACAGTTGTGTCAGTTGCCAGCTTCAGACTTCCAGGAGATCCAGTGCTGCACTTCAGCTGAATGACCACCTCAGATGTTCTGGAGGGTTTTATTTAATAGATAAAGTCTTCATTCTATAGCATTTAAAGAAAAATGTTGCTTCAGCCTTTTTTGCTTTATGCATCTAAGCAATCTGTGTGAGCAGAGTGGAGAAGTTAGCAAGATGAGTTATGTTTGTGGTGAGACAGCTGTGCAACAGTTCTGAGCCCAATCTGAGCAGCAACATGTTTTTCTTACCCACTTGTAGTAAGTCTTTGGTTCTCAGAAGCTAGATTTATCTGGAATATGAACAGAAGTATCCTGCCTGCTGCATGTAACCAAGATACCTTAGGAATCAGTAGGGATAACTTGTTAGTTGTAGCCAAGCGCTTGTCAGCTGTAAGAAATACTCTGCCTTGTAAGATAAAGTCCCTCGTTTCTTTAAGGATTTGTACACTGTGGATGTTCTGCTGTGTATGAAAGCCATGATCTAGACTGCATCAATCCATGCAGTACCTCAGGGCCAATTAAAACTGCTTTTATTAGAGATTAAAAACTTAATTATGTGGGGAAAAGGTCAAATGGAATGAATGGGACAAAAACTTTTCATTGGGAGGGAGGGGTAAGGGAAAAGGGCTCAATTTGTAAGGAGATGTATTGTTATCCAGGGAGTGAGCTTTTATTTTCCAATGAAGCTTTTTGGACTCAAAAGTTATTTTTACAACTTTTAATTCCGAGTTTTCTATTGTCTCACTTTGTGCACATTTCATTAAAAATAATTCCTTAAAACCAAAATAAATTGGACTGGTTTATTATATTATGGGGTTGCTGTCTGTCACGAGATCCCTAATTGGGAGAAGGTGAAGGACACTTTTAAAGCAAGGAGTGGTGCTAAATGGATTATGTTACCAGTGTTTTTGGAACATAGGGGAAAAAGAAAAGGCAAAAAGCTTTGTCATTGAATGTCTCAGAAGTCATAGAATCACAGAAGGTTTGGGTTGGAAGGGACCTTAAGCTCATCTAGTTCCAACCCCCTGCCATGGGCAGGGCCACCTCACACTAGACGCTGTCACCCAAGGCTCTGGCCTTGAACACTGCCAGGGATGGAGCCTTTAGGGCTTCTTTGGGCAGTCTGTTCCAGTGCCTCGTGACCCAAAAGTGCTAAAAAGTCTTTAGTTTTCCTGTCAGGAGCAGCATTTCAGTGCAGTCACTCTCGGAACTGAGAAAGAAAACAAATCTCTGCCAGCCCGCAGGAGCTTAAAACTGAGTCACAGCGCAGTGTATGCATGGGAGACAGGAGCTCTGTGAGTGAGTGCCTTACGACTCTTTCCTTTTTCCTCTGCTAGGCATTCTGTGGTAAGGGTGTTGTATTTGGTGTATAATTAATTAAAACCAGTTTATAGCTTATTCTAAACCTGTTCAGGCTTTTAGAGGATGTGTTAAGAAGTTAAATTGATAGAGGCTTTGGTGTCTCGTGAAGGATATGCTGGCACTGAAGCGATAGCATGCACTTAAAAGCTTTGAATCCGTGAGATGAGTAATTTAATTACCCGTTTTATCAAATCCTCTGTGATACTCTGCAGGAGGATCTGCCTGGGAGGAATTACTAAACCCTTTTCCTTTTAGTCTCTTGAGAGCCTTGTTTCCTTACAGCCTGGAGAGAAAACAGCCATCAAATCATGTTGAGAGTAAAAGTGGCATCTCGGGAGAACTCCCTTTAGGATGATTGCTTTTCCATGTTGCTTCATACTCCCCTTCAGTACTTGTTTGCCATTTCCTATGATATTTTCAGATACCAATTATAGATACCATATTAAGATTGTCATTACCAAGTTGAAGCCTTGCACAAATTGGGTGTCATGAATATTTCAGATGCAATGCCCTGTTTTCTCCATTCCCCACACACAGGCAGCTCTGTTCCCTTCAGTCTTTGTTTCAGGCCTACAATATTTGGCTGCTTTCTGAAATCTCATTGCTTCATTTAATTGTCTAAAGCAGAAGGCTCAGTAACACACGCTGCATCCCCAGCCTCTGGCACTCGGCATGCTCTTAATTCGAGTGTTTTGGTTGAGTGTTTCCCAATGTAAATGTATTCCTCATCACTGTTCCTTTATCAAAAGCTGGTTTGTGCTGTTCTCGTTCCCTGCACGGATCACCTATGGCCTTAAAATGTGTGCCAGCACAGAGTTGTTTTTCCTCTTTTGATTTATTACTTCTTTTCTCTGCCAATGCTTATATTGCAAGGGTACACTGGAGGAATTATAGAAACTACTGTTTAAAGCATATACCATGAAACTAGAACTATGGGGGTGAGAGGAGGGGTTGGGGAAGGAGTTACAAGTAAAGGTTCAAGACCCTTTGAAGAGTCTTTGCCTTTATAATGCCCCTTGTAGCTGAGGATTCCTTAACATGAAGAGGGTGTGTTGCAATGGGCTCTGGGAATTGCAGGTTTACAGCCAAGGAAGTGCAGTTTTACTCAGCTGCAGGAAAAGTGCAGATCAGTTCAGGCTTGTGTGTGGAGTAAACTCACGGGCACTCTTGATGAGTAAATAGGCCTGAGTTTCATCCACAGAACTACTCCTGCAAGCACGTCGTTGTGGAGAGCATTACCCATTCATTTCTGAAACCAGACTGAAAACGACACGGGTTTGTTCTTGTGCAATCTGATGTAACACACATGCAAATACCTTTGGTTGGTGACACCGATGGGGTTTAAATTCAGTAACCCCTGTGACTTGATCAGTGCTGGTCGTTGAAAACCCATTGTTTCCCAAATACGCTGCGTGTGGTGGTGGTGGTGTGGATGCTAACGTCGCCTTCCTTTCTTTCGGCTTGGGGTTGAGCTTGTCAAAGATGAGCAATGCTGTGTTTCTGGCAGGTCACCGTACTGCAGTTTCAAAGTAACCAGCTATTGCAGCCAGGTCAAGGGGTTTGGGTGTATTCTCTGAAAGATTGGTGTATAAGAACACCTCTGAAAGAGGTTTTGAGGATTAACATCTCCAGTGCATTGTGGTAAGTACCTTTGCTTAGGAAAGCAGCTTAATGTCAGCTCATGTCAACTGCTTCAAAAGTTACCAAAATGCCATTTGTATTTTCTTCATAGTGTTCAAGCCATCAGTCCAGGCTCTTGTGCTGCGTGAAGTTACACAGGGATAAAATGGACCTTTGTCATTAAAGAGGTAAGGACCATCCAAACAGGATCTCCTGGGGTTGGTGTTTTAGGTGTTACAGGTGAGCCCAGCTTTATAGGACTCCTATGTAAAGCAGTAATCTTGCAATTAATAATGCTCCCAATTTTTGTCATGTTTTCTTTTCCATTTCTTAATTCCATTATTCCTGTTGATCCCAGCAGGAGCGTAAACTTCAGAATGATCTGCAGCATTTAATCAGTAAGCACTTCTTATTGGGGGCTAATTTTAAGGGGTTT